TTTTTTTTTTTTTTTTTTTTTTTTGTTGAGTTTGCTTGCTCCACGTAAGCGACCAATCTTCGGGGTAGTCGATTAGTTTGTATACCCAAACTCTTCAAAAATGACAAAAATTGACCAATACATACACCCAACGTTTTAGTAGAGCTTTAAATAGGTTATTCAAGGCTTCAACAACCACTAATATCTTTATACAAGTAATAATATAGCTTTTAATATAGGAAAGATATAAATATATAGCTATTTAATATTTACCATGGATGTAAGGGTTGGCTTGAGTGATTTTGCTTAAAGATATGAATCCTTTAGCCTTTGATAATCTTCTTCTAGCATTTATAAGTGTTTAACAAAACCATATTATTATTACTATACTATTTGAAAAATAATATCAAGATATTATCAGAAGGTTCAAGTCTTCATGGTCATTTCTCACACGTTGAACTTGTAAAAAGAAAAAAGTTCTCTTAAAACGTGTGGACGGTGAGATCTGGGAAAGAAAAAAGCTGCTCTCTTTCTCTCTCTAAATTGTATAAAAAAGAGAACCCAGTGGCGAGGCCAATCAACAAGACTCTTTTGTTCCCGCTAAGAACGCTCTCTTCCAACCTCCGTTTTCCCCCCCATATTTGCTCCAAAAGAAACTAACTTCCCAGTTCCAAAAAGAGTAGGAGAGAGAAGTAAAGGTGTGTTTGGAGAGGATGGCAGTAGCAAATGAAACAATGGGATCATCTTTTCTTCACAAAACATCTTTGGTTTCTAAGTCCAAGTTGTTTCAAAGAGGCTATCTTGAGAAGCAGTTCAGGCCATTTCGGGTTGTTCCAATGGAGAAGAAGAGGATTGTGATGAATTTAAGGAAGGCTGTGAACGGCCCTGTGGCTGCAATTAGTGAGGATTTGGTTAAGGCTGTGCCCTTGGCTGAGAAGCCAGTAAAGTTCAAGGTCAGAGCTGTTGTAACTATCAGAAACAAGAACAAGGAAGACATTAAAGAGACGATTGTTAAGAATTTGGATGCTTTCACTGATAGGATTGGCCAGAATGTTGTTCTACAACTTATCAGCACTGAAATTGACCCAAGTGAGCCATTTTTTTTTCCCCTCTTTTCTTTTTTCAATTTCTGGGTGTTCTATGTTCAAGATTTCCTCATGTTTACTTCTTCCCTGACTAGAGTAGATTTATATTTTACTGAACTGAATTTGATTTGGATCATTGAAGAAACAAACACTCCAAAGAAAAGCAACGAAGCAGTATTGAAAGATTGGTCAAAGAAAACTAATCTAAAAGTCGAGAAGGTAAATTACACAGCAGAATTTTTACTGACCTCGGATTTTGGAGCGCCTGGAGCGATCACAATTACCAACAAGCACCAGCAGGAGTTTTTCTTGGAGACTATCACGATCGAGCAATTGGCAAGCGATCCTATTCATTTTCCTTGCAATTCCTGGGTCCAGTCCAGAAAAGATCACCCTGCAAAAAGGATATTTTTCTCTAATAAGGTAAGTTTTTTTACCCCTGTTACTTTTTCTTTCTCAGTTCAGCTTTTGTAATTTGTCTTCAAATAATAATACAGACCTTTATGAGATAATGCTAGTAAAAGCTGATGTGATGTGTTCTTACATATTTCTGTTCTTAAATGACTCCACTTCCTCATGTCATTGTAATGAATGACAATACAATCCTCTTAACATCGACTATTGGGCGGTGAAAAGAAATGGGGGAAATTTGTAGCCATTTCTTTTCCGTTTGAAACTCTTCTTTTATTTCTTTCATTCCTTTCTACAGTCTTGAATCTGCCACACTATTTGATAAGATTGCCTGTGGACCCAGAACTCAACCTACCTAACTACGCTTAAACAGGCCACCACTTACACCTATTAATATCATTCAAAATCTAAACCAGAATTTGAAAACTATGATTAAGAAATAGTAAAATCCAAGCAAAATTTTCAAAAGTAGAAAACTAAGTACCAAATAATTATCAAACCAGCAATCATAAATGAGGGAAAACAATTTCAAACCAAGAATGGCTAAGATTATAAACGAACCTTCCTACAAAATGACATATTCTCTTCTATTCTTGTTCTGTGGATTTTTTTTAAGGTTATCTAATGTGTTATACAATTCTGCAGTCTTATCTACCAGGTGAGACGCCCGAAGGGATTAAAGCGTTAAGAGAACAAGAACTTAAAGAGATTAGAGGTGATGGGAAAGGGGAGAGGAAACTGTCCGATCGAGTATATGACTTTGATGTGTACAACGACTTGGGAAATCCAGACAAAGGAATAGAATTTTCTCGCCCAAGGCTTGGTGGTGAGAAAATTCCATATCCTAGAAGGTGTCGCACTGGACGTGCCCCGTCCGATACAGGTAAAATCTGACACCGACACCGACATTTGCAGTAGTAACAATATCTAGCAAAGGCTATACAAAGCCATATCTAATAATTGTATATACTACTACAGATATAACAGCAGAGAGTCGAGTTGAGAAACCGTTACCCATGTACGTGCCAAGAGATGAACAATTTGAGGAGTCTAAGCAAACCACTTTCTCTCTTGGGAGGCTTAAGGCAGTTCTTTACAACTTAATTCCATCTCTCAAAGCCAGCATTCTGTCAAATAAACATGATTTCCATGGGTTTTCAGATATTGACAGCCTTTACAGTAAAGGGGTGCTCCTTAAATTAGGCTTACAAGATAAACTCCTGAAGAAGCTACCATTGCCAAGGGTGGTGAGTGAATCCAGCCAAGGACTACTACGATACAACACACCCAAGATCCTTTCCAGTAAGTGAAATCATCAGCCTTCAAAAGTATTACTCATAAATGCATACAATTGGCTAGCATCATCATACCTGTAGTTTGCAAAAAACTCATCTAATTAGATAATCTAGATGGGTATAGACTACTTTTCTAATGAAGATTCAAATAAACTGTTTTACAGAGTTGGATCAATCCCAGTTAATGAAATAGAATAATCTTTTCAACTTTGGTAAACTCAGAAAGCTACCTTCATTGACAGGCATTGCCATATGCAAATTGGCAAACCCAATCATTCATAAATTTGATCATTTGTGTGTCATGTCAATTGCAGAGGACAAGTTTGCCTGGCTACGAGATGATGAATTTGGCCGCCAAGCAATAGCAGGAGTTAACCCAGTCAACATTGAGAGGCTCAAGGTTTTCCCTCCAGTGAGCAACCTTGATCCCGACGTTTATGGTCCACAGGAATCTGCCCTTAAAGAAGAGCACATTCTTGGCCAACTTAATGGGATGACTGTGCAGCAGGTGCATTATTACACCAAGATGTTGACCCATCACTCTGATTTTTTCAAATTCTAACAATATCTTGCCTCAAATTGCTTTGATTGTTACAGGCATTGGATGAAAACAAATTGTTTGTAGTGGATTACCATGATGTTTACCTTCCATTTATTGATCGAATCAACGCTCTCGACGGGCGGAAAACATATGCAACTCGCACAATCTTCTTCTTGACTCCACTTGGAACTCTCAAACCTATAGCCATAGAGCTTAGCCTTCCATCAACAGCGCCAAGTTCTCGATCGAAGCGTGTTGTGACTCCACCTGTCGAAGCTACAAGCAATTGGATATGGCAGCTTGCTAAAGCTCACGTCTGCTCCAACGACGCCGGAGTTCATCAACTTGTTAACCACTGGTAATTGAGCGAACTCTTAAAAAGAAGAGAGGGATTGAGCTTTCTGATGACTAAAAATGGCTTACTGTTGGTCACAGGTTGAGAACGCATGCGAGCTTAGAGCCATTCATACTGGCAGCACACAGGCAACTAAGCGCAATGCACCCAATCTTCAAGCTCTTAGACCCACACATGCGATACACAATGGAGATCAATGCATTGGCGCGCCAAAGCCTGGTCAACGGAGAAGGAGTGATCGAGTCTTGCTTCACTCCAGGCCGCTACTGCATGGAGATCAGCGCTGCGGCGTACAAGAACTTTTGGCGCTTCGACATGGAAGGTCTTCCTGCCGATCTCATACGCAGGGGAATGGCCGAACCGGACCCTACAAAGCCCCATGGACTCAAGCTTTTGATCGAGGACTATCCATACGCTAGCGATGGACTTCTAATTTGGGACGCAATCGAGAATTGGGTTAAGACCTATGTGACACATTACTATCCAAACGCCAATATCATCCGCGAAGATGAAGAGTTGCAGGCCTGGTACTGGGAGTCCGTCAATGTAGGGCACGCTGATCTCCGCCACGAAACCTGGTGGTCGCAATTGAACAACAGCGACGATCTCGTGTCGATTCTCACTACACTCATCTGGCTCTCGTCGGCACAACACGCAGCGCTGAACTTCGGCCAGTATCCGTACGGAGGCTACGTACCGAACCGGCCGCCATTGATGCGGCGGCTGATCCCCGACGAGAACGATCCAGAGTATGCGATCTTTCTAAACGATCCTCAGAAGTATTTCTTGTCGGCATTGCCAAGCGTGCTGCAGGCGACGAAGTTCATGGCGGTGGTGGACACATTGTCAACGCACTCGCCGGACGAGGAGTACCTCGGAGAAAGACAGCAGCCATCGATTTGGACAGGGGACGCGGAGATGGTGGAGGCATTCTACGAATTCTCAGCGGAAATCGGACGCATCGAGAAGGAG